GTACATCACTGGGTCTCATTCCAGCGAGGATCATCCCATGTATGGAAAAACAGTGAAAGTGAAAGATTCTTGTCTCCTTGATCTTCTTGATATTCCAGTTGATACAAGTTCATCGAAGTATATAGGACCTCCACATTTGATGTCGTCTTGAAGTTGAGTGAATCAGCGCAAGGATTTCCTGTCCGTTGATAAAGTCCGATGATCTCCCTTTTGCACTGAGTGTTGCCCGGAGTTTCATAGAAACATTGATCCCACCGTCCTTAGCATCGGTCACTACCTGTTGCAATGGCATCCTGAGCTTTGCGTCAATAATGTGACATCTCGGACCTCCTGAATCTTCAAGCTTGTCGGGGCCTGGATCATCATTTGCTTCCTCGACCCAGTCAATCCAAGGCTGTTGATCAGGGTCGTTGGCAGCAACAATGATTTAAATCGTTGACCTTTGGACATGGGGGTACCACCACGTTCGATTCCTCTTTTCTGGACACCCTTGCAAACAACGACACTTCATGAAGACGCTGCAGTGGCCTCGGAAAGTTCATTCTTCAGCTTTCAGGTTTGGCTTCCTGATCTCTGACTTCGTCCAATTCCTGATGGTACAGTTCGTGGGCTTCTGTACGCCGTTCGTATACTTCGTCCCGTGCATCTCTGTACCTTTTAGATCGCTTCATTAGTCTTCCTTCATCCTCTTGCTCTCTGAGTGAGGAAACCCAGCCGGGGGCTTGGTCCCTCCTTTGGCGCCAAATCCCTCACTGGTAGGCATCAAGGATAAGGATTGCTTTTCCAACTTCAAGCTGGTGTTCTCCCTCCGTAGGTCTTTGAGCATCCTCTCATTATCGGCAATGATTATTTCCATGTTCTATATTCTACCAATCAATTCTAGTTTCTCTTGGTCACCAAACCGGGTGTTCCTCTGATGTTGCAGTTGCTTACATTCAGTAGCATTGTTTCTAGCTGTAGTTTCGAGTCATTCCATAGCCTCTCTTGAGTATCTTGGCCTCAAATTGAAGACGTGAGACTTTCGTTTTTTCCGCTGAAATCTCCATTTGATATTCTGCATGGGTTTCTGCATCTCGATAGCTAATCTCTGCATGTGCATTGTGCTCAGCACCTTTCAGTGTTGCCACTCGTGCTCTAAGATGATCAATGACCATCTGTTCGTGGTTGTGACTCGCATTGGCATGTGACATTTCATCCAAGAGTTGAAGCTGTTATTCATTCTGCATCTGTTTCTCCTTCTCAAGCTCTGTGATTTCCCAAATATTCATATTATCATCTTGAAGGGCAGGCGTTCGTGTCTACAGTTGACTAGCAACTTGTCTCATGGCCATGTTCCATTTTCTGATTCATAGCGCGGGAATCTGATTGTTCTTCATTGCTTTCCTCAGTTAGCTCAATATATTTCCCAAAGATGTGGTCCGGTCTGCCATCTGTTCAGCAAGTTGAAGTTTGTGTTCAAGTTCTCCTATTCTGATGGTAGCACCTTCGTCTTCCTGAACCATTTCTTGCAGCCGAGTCTCTATGGTCCGTCCATACATGGATACATTCGCGAATTCTTCTTTGGATCTCTGATATAGGCCAGCGCATCCAGATTGCGAATGCGAATATTCTTCGGAACGAACTGGTAAGCCATGTTTGATGATGTCTGAGTTCTTCCAGTAATTGCACCTCTCTGCTCGCTTCCTTGTGGTCAGGACTACCACTGGTGATTCTCACTTTCTCAATGCTTTTCTTTGGCGGTCGATTGTGAGTCAACCTTGGCGAAGTAGACCTGCTGAGGGCTCTCTTGACACCATGGAATCTGTTGGCATCGTGACAATGGAAGCATCGGTTGAACTTACACCTGTCATTCCTCCTGACTGTGGCATATTTCCTCCAGGAGCGGCACAGGAATAGGCTTCACTTGTATTCCCACCAGAACTTGACATTCTTGGTCATTGTAGTTCAATGGTCTCTCTGTAGCTCGTACCCAGAGCGGGTACGGCTGGTAACCCGCGTGTAGGTGTTAATCGAAGGATTATCGGGAAAATAATATCGATCACCTCGCGGCCACATAATCGATCTGCGCACAATCTTTTTCTTTATGCGGGCGCTTGAGCCAAAGAGTGCGTCGGCAATGTGCATTATTCTGTACACATGCTTAGCCGAATACTACTATATAATATATGTACTCTCATTGCACGGCTACTGACAGAAACAATAATCCGGACAATGGGACTGCATGCCGGTGGACATTGACCATCTCACCTCGGAGTTGCTACACACTGTCGCTGTGGCATCGAACCCTGTGCACGAACAGATTGGTCACTGACTAAACCAGCGGGTTTGCAAACCTTTTGTCAACTATTATGACTATTGCGTTGGCTCGACTGGCACGCTCCAGGCTATCAGGCTGACACAGTTGGCAACTCATCTAACTTCAAATGTGACATACAGGTGGGGTTGTGTAAAAACCCTCTGCCTTGCCCTATAACACTTTTGATGTTATTCTTTCTTCCCTATCGTTTTACAGCATGCAACAAATGTAGTAAATGTAGTATAATGTAGTGTGTGCACTACATGCATGTGGTGTGTGGAACCTTGCAGGCATGAAGACATTAGGCACACTTCATTCCAACTACACCCATGTGGTGGCCTGCCCACGGAAAGGTGTTTTAGGCTCGTTGTGTTATCGTTTGTGTGTCGTTTTGTTATCGGTTTCATGCCCGGTGCAAGTTGGAAAACCATGTGGCACAACAATGCTGTAGCACAAGGCTACAGCGGTCCAAGCCCTCCCACCTCTGTCCAAGCACATGCCCACCAAGAGCAGTCATGCATTGACCCTGACAATTTGGAACAGTAGTAGGTTTTCTGTTTGTGTGTGCGCACGCATTTTCTTCACACCACTTCTTGCATGTCAAGGGGTTTTCCAAAAGAGTCATCCCGGGGTTATCGCGTTTTTTCTTCCTTATCGTTTTACAGGGGTTTGAAGTTGAGCATGCTTCAAAAAAACGGACATGCGCATACTAATTTCTTACCTACATGGTGAGTCTTTATACTCTCTCAGGTGGTTGATACTCCTATCCTTTACACCCCTCGGCCTCTGCATGGTCCTGGCACGCAAAATTCAACAGCTTGCAAACGTTAAAATTGCGTTTGCCCCTGCCCACGGACAAGGCAGGAAAGACACAACTATTGAAGTGCAAGCTTCTGATCAAAAGGTTCTTTCACACAATTCGTACAGATCACCGCTCAGCCCGACCTTCACCAGGTTGGCTCTCAGAGTGAGTCTGCTGTGCCTGGGCCCGCTCTTGCGCCCGCGCACGTGGGCGCTCTTCCGTGAGTCCGACCCAGTGCCGGTTGGCGAAGTGAAGCTCCAGCCCTAGGGCTGAAATCAGTCCTGGCCATGGCGTGGATGGAAGTCCCGAGGGGGATGGAAAGTCTGGCCGATGGATGGGCGTTTCACCCGATGGATTCACACTGAATCCCACAACCCCAAGATCACACCAAAGTGAAGTTCTTCGTGACTTTTCTTGGGTCTGTCAACCTGCCCTAAAGGAGCATCCGACTGGAACACCTGGCGCATATGTTCCTTAAAGCAACCGTCTGTCCCATGGATTTTCTGGATGTCTTTGGTCACCATGGCCTTCGCATGGTCCAATGGATGCTTTTTGGTCGTCGTTCTTGGTCAAAACGTGGGACTTCCAAGGCTTCAGGTGGTGCTTCGATGCTGGGTATGTCCACACCACGGACAAAGGGCCAGTCCAGCGCACAGCGCACGGCGGTGGTTTTGGGTGAGTAGCGGACACTTCAGCCAACAGAGGGCGCTGTGGCTCAAAAAGAAGACCATCCAATTGTAAGCATGTTCTACCCTCCCGCGAACACACATGGAAGTGGACAACCCCCTGTTTGCCAAGGAATACCGCCTTTCCAGGGACCTTTTTCCACTTCGATGAGTGGAAGGGGGGAAAGAAAGACGTCCTGTTGTTCCACTGAGTCAGTGTCCCCCGATCGATTCCTGTCACAGGCCCCTCATCAACTAGAATTCGGGTTGTTCCAGACAGCTGGCCAACTCTTCTCCCCACAGTTTGCAGCACTCCAACGCTAGCTTCTAGTGGGTTTGGGGATGTTTGGAGTTTACCGCAACGCTAGACTGCTAGACCCTCAGCCGGTCCTCTTGCGGACACCAATGGATCTCCACTTGGATTCGCACGGGAGCTGCTTGCAAGCGTGAGCTGCTCAGATGAGCCACTGTGGCGTGGACTGGACTTGTTGGTCGCGGTGCTGCCCATCGTCGCGCGTCGGCGTCGTCTGGAAAAACGTCGAACGGTCACGACTTGAGCCCTTGCTAGGCATGCCGGGTGTCACAAGCCATCATCACGAAACGACTGCGGACATCAACGGTTTTTGGAAGTGAACGAAACGAAAACGAGGCTCTTAAGAAACCTTGATGTACGCATGGCTTAGCTATGTGTTTCCAGGTTCAACTCGAGCTTCTCCACACGTCCAGACCGCTCAGCTGGAAAGCCTCCCAAAGGATCCAACTCCCACGTCGTCGACCACCGAAGCCATCCGTTCCGATTGGAAGGGACAATCGGTATAGGAAACCCATAGTTTGGTGTACAGGAAACCACCCCCAACCTATGGGTTTCCTGTAGGTTTTCCCTTTTAAAGCGCGTCTGGGATCAATCTGAAGCCAAAGACATCTGGCTGACCAAGCCCCGATGACCAACACGCGGGGGGGGCGGGGGGCGAACCCGGCGAAGCCGAACGACACGTGCACTTCTTGTTGTACAGTTGGCGAATCACTGCCATCCTGTGATAAGAAGACCCAAATCATCTGTGATCGTATTTATATACTTGCAAGGTTCAATCATCTCCTATCATGTATCATCTTCAATATCTTCCAACATCTGCGCCAGGATGATGACAGCCTGTTAAATAATAAGGCTGCTTCACGATGTCACACCACTCGCGGGCAATGCTTCATCTCTGAATCTCTTTCACCCACGGAATTCCACCTCGTCGGTGAGGTACATGAAGAGCCAGTTGGAAAAAACCAAGTCGAAAGAGGTGGGCTCCAGCTGCCTGAAGAGCTCCCCCGATTCATGCCGAAGATCTGCATGGGGAATAGACTCATAGGGCCTCCCGGCCCAGTTACTGGGCAGACTGGTCGACCAGGCTCTTTGGTGTCCACAAGGTTGGTGTGGAAGTTCTCCCTGTTCAAATGTACAGCCATATGACATTTGGGGGGCCACCTTGTGACTGAACGACTTGCACCGAATCCGGGCAGATTCGGACGAATCGCCTTCGTCCTGGTTTCCGAGAGTTTCCGAGAGCCACCACCCGAAACCCCGGGTGCATGATTCAAGGCTTTCGGAGGGGGTTCCCCTCCGAAAGCAGGGAGGTGTGGGTTTCAACCCCCGTCATGCTCACAGCCTGCATGTCATGAAACCTACTCTTTCGCATCATGCGACAAACAGCGGATCTCCCGGCCCTGACACGGACTGGAATGACACGGACTGGGCAAACCACCGCCCTGGAATTGATGGTTAGCATACCAAACAGGTGGTGCCATCCACGTAACCATGACTCCATCGCTCTTCCAAGGAGTGCACATTCCTTCTGACGCGTGACGCCTGCTTTGCAGGAGCAACCTGAGGTTTCACCCCGTCTGTGTTCTGCGTCCCTTCTTTGTTCAAGGCGTTACGGTGTCCACGTGTGCAGCGGTGCAGCCGGGCCACAATGCTGTCACATCTGCCTGCATCAGGTCGTCTCTTTTCATGGAATTCGTGACCAACGCAAAGCAACCAACTATTGGTGAATATGCCTTGAAAAGGGGTGTTCTTATCTATCTATCTATCTATCCAACTCATCTCAGTCCGGTGTGTCGAAACACATCGGGGCGAGGCCGAAGCCACGCTGGTCTCCCGCGCCCCGGTATGCCCCTCTCGTTTCGAGTCCCGCGGGTACCGACCTGCGAGGCTGCTTTTTGGAAGCGAAATTGGGCCATGAGCAGAAGGGGACGCACGCGTCCAACCGTCCAAGTGTCCTAGTAGCAGAATATCAGAATCTGGGGAAAAAAACCAGACGTGGTAGCTCTCCCTGGTGTATCCTTGCCGTGTCTCTTGCTAGTCTGGCTTCTTTTTGGTTGCTTTCCCCATGCTTTCCTCCTCGGATCATCGTCCCCATCGACCTGGATCACTTCCAAGTTCTTCTGCTCCGCGTTGGCGTGCCGATTCTCCGCGCAGGCCGCCGCCACGAAGTCCACCGCGACCACCCGGCGCGCTTTCCTGGCGGACGGGAGTGACGGCGTTGGATCGCTACTCCAGCAGAGGTTGAAGAACCCTATAGACTATCCTATAGGTACCCCCCCGGTAGGGTCCTATTTACGGTCACTTAACCTCAGTAGGCTGTATATAGAGGTCTATGGGAGTTACACACCGGGCAACTGGCCAACAGCCAAAAACAAGACCCATCCAAAGGACCAGTGACGGGTACTACACTCAAACTGCCCTGAAGAGCCAAAGCGTTGCTCTTCAGAGCCAGGTCGCTTTGGGCCAGAAAAAATCATCGAGACGTGGTACCCGACCCATCGATGAAAGGACGGTTCATGACGGATGAAAGGACGGATTCACCACTGGGCCTCTATCACTTGCGCCATCGATGCTTCGTTTTTGCCTTTGGGTTACGACTTGGCCTGGTCGACCCGAACGCCTGCGCTCGCCGGAGCGTTTCGCCCTGCAACCACGGTTTTCGCCCTTGCCTGGCCAAGAGGCCACTGAAGCGGCCGATGCCCGCACCCAGCCTTGGTCTTGAACGACCGTGGCGTGACCCGAAGCCACACAGCTAACGGAACCTTGGGTACCCTGCTTCCTCCCGTTTCCAAGAAACACAAGGCACACCTAAGGCACACATGGAGAACGCCACGGTTTGTCAAGGAATAGAACGCCTGAAACGGGGAGGCAGAGGTTCCACAAAGCCAATGCTGGAAAGTCGGTCCCCCAGCATCCTCAGGATGGCTATGATGGTGGCTCATGTGGGGTGTGCGGCAACTGTCGGCACATGTCGGCGCACAGGAAGACACGAGAAGCTCAGGTTTTCTTGGATCAAGCTTTCCAGGTGGCCGTCCAGAACCAGGCATCATGATCAGCCACAGGGCACAGGGGATGGTAAATTCAGTGTTCAACTAGTTCGCATGGTTTTGGGATGGTTGTGGTTAATCATCTAAGTCGATCTAAGTGCATCTTCCCAGTTGAACTGCTTGCGATCGGATCCACCGAGCAAGCAGAAGCCGTGGCTTCTCACTCCTCGCTTCTCCTCACACGTGGCGGGTGAAGGTCTTAGTTCCGGTCCGGGTGGAAAAGTCACCTGGTCACCTGGACCCCGTTCGTGGCGTCCGATCGCTCCGTTCGTAGCGATCACCTGGAAGCAGAAGGCAAATTGATGTTCAAGCTCCAGGGGTTACAAAGTGATGGCTGGACCACATGAAGCTTTAGAGGTGGAGAGGGTCTCTCATCACTTGCCGCTGCTTCAATCTGCTACCTAGACCTGCACCAAACACCGAAGCTGATCCAGCAACACTCAGCCAAAGGGCTCCAGCACATCCTTCCCCGCGACGCTGGGGATCTGTGAAAGGATCCTCGCGGCGAGCATGCGCGGAGCATGCGCGGGCAACTGCGTGCTGAGTCCTAGGCACCATGGGAGTCAGTCAAGTGACGGCCCAATCAGCGTTTGGAGGCGGTGAGTGACAGGCCTAAAGGCATCTGAACGGCCCTGAAAGGCCAAAGAACCATCTGTTATGAAGCGGAAGGCCCCTGTTCCAAGGCTGAAAGTGACTGATATCACAACATGGAGGTTGGAAGGAAACTACTCCAGGGTATCCCCATGCCACTCCCCCAACGGATCTCTGGGCCAAGCATCTCAGGCCGTTCCAGCTTGTCGATTGAGGCCGCGTCAGTGTCAAGCATCATCGTCTCAATGGTGGGGGAGGAGTGGTCAGCCCAATATTCCTGGCACTGTGAATCTTAGCACGGTGTCCTCAAAAAGAAGGACTCACTTAAAAGAGTTATAATACATATATATATATATATAAGTATATGTTTATTCTACGTTACATATTATCTACTTACACAGTGGTTTCAGAGTAGATGGCACAAACCGATCGATCAGGCCGCGACGTCCGAAGGGCTGCCGACCTGAGCCAAACATGCCAAGGCCCCACCGTGAATTCCGCTCGCTCGTTGTCCAGTGTTTTCCTGAATGCACGGTGAAGGTGGCTGAGAAGCAAGTTGATTGATTTGAGTAGTGCAAATGTATGCAGCATTCATCATGTGAGGCAGGGAATCCATTACTGTAGTTCAATGTTGCCATAACACCCCATTGGGGGATAACAAACCTCCGGTCTATATATATCAAGATCAAACACGGCATGGTTGGGCACAACAAAAGCCAAAGCCTTAAGAGCTATACACTACATTACATTGCATTGCATGACATCACATCAGCATAACATAACAAAGTACAACATACAGTCAGTAACATAACATGTACATACCATTGTATCGCATTGCTTTCCATAACATGCCATACCATACCATTACATTACTGTACGACACAGTAGAAAGATCTACATTGCATTACGTACACAACAGTACATTACAGTCTATTAAACTTTATACATATACATACAGAAGCAAAGGTACAGTACTTTACAGGGTTCCCACATGCAAAGTGCAGCATCAGCAGGGTCCCTCAAGTTTTCAGGCATCAAGTCCTAGGCATCGTGGACCATAAGCCGCTGACATTTGGGCAGAAATCACGACACCTCTTCCACTTCTTCTCCCCATCTCACGGCCCATTCCCCACGATCCGATATGAGGCCTCCACATCGCACGTGCACACCCCCACCGTTCGAACGGCCGAGACACCTTTGCAGCGCGTCGTCACCTCGGTCCGTTTTCCGTGCCGCGGACCGTCACCCCGGGGAACCGGGTCGGTCGACCGACCATCCGGTCCGCCGTGGTCCGGTGGGACGACGGCAAGTCGCTGACGTCGAGCCATAAGCACACACCTGGGCCCCTGGGCCAATGAATCAGCATGCCACCATCCCATCCTTTGTCTGATCCCATGCCAGGTCACGAATGGCCTTCAGCTCCCTGAAGCAACTTCGCCATTCGATGCTTTTGTACAAATGTGTCCTGAGCATGAGGCATCTATGGCCATGTGTGATTGGGCGGAGGAAAAAAGGCTTCGGAAGCACGATGTGCTGATGGCAACTGCTGAGGCATCATGCAGGTTTTTGATCTCCCATGCAGCATGAAATCAGCCTACATATATTTCATCAAAGACCCACCTGGTAGCAAAGGTAGTATGCGGGTTCTATAATATCATATAACGTTAACTATAATGAGCAACTATACGTAAAGGGTTGAAAACAACCACAACCAACACTCGAAATGTGACGAAAGCGGTTGATCACATGCTGCGCTTACTGCTTCCCCGCTCTGCCCTCATCGCACATTCAGCACCGTCGCAGCGGCACCCCTTCGGAAGGCGGTCGTTGGGAATCCCCTCCCACAGTCCACGAACGAAAAAGGCACCCTGGAGCGCGCGCGCCTCTAGGAATTCGCAAACCGGCCGTCTATGTCCTTGACCCAGAGTCATCAGGGGTGATCGATATTGATCGATGCTCGAGCTACATTGCAAGCTCACCTTGCAAGATCTTGCAAGCTAATGCCAGTGAAAGGTGGTGACAGCCCCCTTCTGTCAAGAACTTCTCACGCCCATTTCCAGGTGAATTACCGCTCAAAACACCCCCTTTCCACTGCTCTTTCAGACGCCCTTCTGCACCGCTGTCACGGCGAAGCGTCAGCTCTTCGCCCTTCTCGATGTCGCGCAGGGCAAAGATTTCAAAGGTCTCCTCGGCTCGAGCAGTGCACCCCACGGGAGGACACCGGACCCATGTCGTGAGGCAGAGTGAAATGACCAGCATCCACCTGCAGGTCAAATGCCCGGGCCCTCACTAATCGCTCACCATCCATTTGACTCAGACTGGACTCGTCCCGCTGAACCAAAAGGAGCACCCACCGGATTCCTCCGACTCTCCCCTCCGTCTCACCGGTCCCCTCCGGGCGTCCAGGGCACGTCCTCCAAGTGTCGGGTCATCGACGTGTTCTCGGACCTGGGAGGCGAAAGGGATGCGGAGATGCGCCGTTCGCGCGGCGGCGAGGGGAACCCCACACGGAGCCGGGACCGGTGACGTGATGAGACGTGTCTTTGGGTGGTGAGGCCAAACCTCCTGAGCTGACGACCCTCCAAAAAGAAAGCAGGAAGAAAAGAAAACAGAGTTCGGGGATGAATGGGGTGGGTGATTGAAATCGCTGAATACATTACATGGCATTTGACCCTGACACCGACTATCACCGACTTCCCTGAAATTGATCGTGGTTGGGTGGAGTGAAAACCATCAAAACCCACCTGTGATTGGTCTTGGGGAAAATGGTCGTCCGTTCGGGGCCAGGCCATCCATGTAAGCCAATGGTAATTCCAGCGTCAAATGCTCCAAGCTGGACACCAAATCTGAGGAGTGCAGGACCAGTTCGACGCGAACTGGAGTTCCGTACGGATCGTTCTGGACCTGAAGATCAGTACGTACCAATGAACGTGCCAAAGAACCCGCAGAGCAGGTGTAGAGTGCCTGAAGGATGCTGAGCCTACTCAGACCCTAACATGGCATCCGCTTGTAGACGAGCAGTTATAATACACTCAAACCTTTATCAATGATGTACTTAGACAAACTAAATTTGCTTCTAAAACCATTACGTATGTCACAGTATGTCTTTTGCGGATATGGAGTCAGAATATTATATGTATAGATAGGTTTTGGAAGATAAGGACTTCCTATTCTATTTCCTTCTCCAGCTGGTGTCATGCCTTGAGACCTCTCCCCGTCGGAACCGCAACGATGGGGCCCATCCATGGGGCCCATCCAACGAGGCGTTGTAGAAGACGGAGCAGCCACTGCCAGTGGCCCACACTGAGCGATCCTCTCTGTGGTCGAAGAGGCCGATCCGAAACGTTCGGACAATCCCAAGGAGCTGGTTTATGCAAGTCTCAAGTGCGATAGGTGATCTATAGCTCTGAAAAGGTTTGGTGTGGGAATCTCCAAGCGGACCAAGTGGAGTGGTCGAAGATCGCAGGTGGTTGCTGTGGCTTGTCATAGACTTCGTAGCCCTACATGCTTCGAAGGGTGACTTAGGGGAAGTTGCTCAGCCCCGCACCAAAAAGTAAAAATGGTGTCATCTGAAGCAAAACTTGTCAAGTAATCCACTGGACCTGGTTAATAGTCTTGAAGGGCAAGACTCTCCACGGTCGTCATGGTCCTAGTCAAAAATATCCAGCACATATCTCAAAATGATTGGAAAATGTGCGCCAAGAAAGTCCATGGAGCTTGTCCTATGCATGCTTGTTCAAAAGTGTTGCGATGAGGTTCATGTCATTATATAAGTCAGATCTGCCACCTCCAGAATGTAAAAGACAATTGTAATAAGTATTATATAATTGTTCACATCCTTGGGAAAACCCAGCCCTATCCAATGGGCAAAGTACATTGAGTCGTGCGATAGTTACAGTGTATACATGTATATTAATGCACTTTAAGGCCTTTAAGACGCAATGGACCCAAGTTAACTAAACATTGATCCTACATGAACTAAAACGATCTAAAATCGACCATGACAATCCTGTCCACTTCTTTCTTTACTGTCCACACTGCCCGGCACTCCTCACTCCAGGTGAAGACGTACTGACAGATATTTCCATCCACTGGGAGTGGCTGCACCACTCCACGCTCGACGAGCTCACCACTTGAAATCCGCTGCGTCGCATAGACCCCCACGCCGCCCCAGGCGTCCGGCCGTGCCTGGACGACATCGGGACGGAGCGGTCGGACCGATACCAACGGGGCGCTCCTGGCCGGTAACCAGAAGCTACTGAATCTACGGACGGAAAAAGAGCACCGCGAAAGGACGTAACATCAAGGGCATTACACCAAAACCTCACCATTCAAGTGCACCTCCTACGGGCGTCTTCGTGTCGCGCCACACGTTTCGCGCGTCTCGCGTCTGGGGTCTCGCGGGACGAGGCAACGTGGCAGGGCGGGACGGTGCTGGATGCTGGTGGGGCTCGGTTTCTGGTCCAAAACGAGGATCCTGGATGTTCACCGACGAATCCAATGTTCACCATGGATGCAACTCATAGATGAATGGATCTTTAGCCTTATATCTTGTTGGTTCTACTCTCTTTACTTACCCCCCTGCCAACAACGGATTTTTTCCTGTGTCTTCCGGTGGGTCAACTCGAGACTAACTCTTCCCTACCTGCTGAGCCACCAGCTGCCCGCAACAAAATTCTCCAAACATGGGTGGAACGTGGCCACTTCTGAAACCCAGACATGCCCAGACATACCCGGCCGTTCCGGGGCCTTTCGCACAACCCGGCGAAATCGCCCCGGTCTCCAAATCTCGGCCACGCCACCTCCACTTTGGAGCAATCGATCCAACGGCTCTCCTCCCCCGCGCCGTTGGACACCTGCGCTGCGCGGCCGCGCTTCGCTCGTTTCGACCCCGGCCGCGCTCGCGCTCTCGCTGCGCCGTGCGATACGCCGCGCTCGTTGGTCAAAAAGCGTCTGGGTCGATCGGTCTTGTTGGACGAAAGCAGATCCCCCAAGGTGAATACCCCGCTTGGTGGGTCGCAAAGGCGAGCCATGCGAAACCTCTCGTGGCGATCTACCCCTGCTACTGCTACAGCTTCCCTCATGCCTGCGCAGAGGGCTGGGCGGCGAAGCCTGGGTGCAAATAACCAGGCAAGGTGAAGGGTTCAGCTATCAATTGCGGTGCCACAAATAACGCCATGACTCAAATGGAGAGTTGATTAAGGACACACCCTTACCAGAATGGATTTGACATCTCCATATGGAGTATGTTATATATATATATAAAGACTCACAGCGGTTGCCTATTTTCATCTTGCAGTGCAGACCTAA